CCCTGCTTTCTGCTGAGCTTTCACTGCTGTGAGAGAGATTCAGCAGCACCAAAAGATTCACCAGCACAGAGCAAGGCTGTGTTTGGTCCCTGCTCATGTACAGCTTGAGCCTGCAGGGCCAATTTCATCTGGCTGGCACTGGTAAAGCAGGAGAATGTTCGTGGCAGGTCTGTGGGCTGATGAACTTGCTTTGTGCACAGGCGGCGAGTGCCAGCCCTGCGCTGGCTTTCCCACAGGTTTTTTCTTTGTGTGTCTGAACCTTAGGTGTGGATTCCTGGGCAGGCTTGGGGGCTGCTAGCCCAGTTACACCCAGTGTGCTCCCAGTACCCAGCACGGGAGGGATTGCACAGATGGCTGCCACCTTCTGCTCTTACATCAGCCTGGCATCTGGCACCGCTCACTCTCAAAAGTAGAAGATACAGATCAAACCAGCATTTCTGTTACTGTCATCCTCAAACATGGCAATTTAGTGAGGGACTGAGAGGTGGGACAGAGAAAGAATTGTTCTGTCAAAACCTCTTCACAGGGATCTGCGGCTGGTGAAATTGCCGGTACATCTTAAAGATGGAAATCAGTGAGTTCTCCTACAGTGCACTGGATTTATTCTCTTTACTGCTTTTTCTTTATAAACAGCTGTCTCCTTTTGTTCAGTGAACATTTGACAGAATGCTCCTGTGTTGCTCCTGTGGCATCTCTTCCACATGTGCCCACCTTCTGTATGTCTCTGGGGCACCCTTCACACAGAGACATTGTCTTTGGGTGAAATCTTTGAAGGAGAGTGCCTCCTGTCACCTCTGCTTACCTAAAATAAGCTTTCTGGTTCAGCACTGAAATGAAACCATCTGGAAAAAGAATCTCCCAATAAAATGCTCCTCTTAATTTAAAGAACTTGCACATTTAAAATGTCTAGATCTTCTGTGGGAACACACTGGTTTCATCAACATTTTAGAGTAATACGACTGAACAATTTTAATCAAGTCAACATTCTTCCTTTTGGTTTTATGTTATGGCTTTGAATGAAGTAAATCACTTGGAGTATATTGTTTTGAAAAAATGTCAAAATTTATAACTTTTTGGCCCTAAACTGCATTGAAATAAGCATCTTGAAATCTTGTTTTATTCCCCTGCCAGGAGACAGGAATATGGTGTTTTTCAGCCAGGACTAGTTACAATTTTGATGGCTGCTGCTGTTATGGATGTCCCATCACACAGATACTGGGTTCATCTGCTTTCCTTTCCCATGAAAATGTGTGCCTGCAGTTCATGCTTATTTGGACTGTTTTTAAAGCTGGTTTTACATAAAGTGTCTTTATTCTGACTTTCCTAGGAATACTTTTTCAAGAGGGAATCGAGGCATAAGGAACTGCAGCAGTGTGACCATCCTCCATTTACTGCTGGTTTACCTCACATGTTTATGTGGGTAGAATTTGAGGGACTCACACTCAGTCCAGAGCATTGCCCCTCTCTTGCACAGGCACTCCTACTTGCTCAGGAGGTATTATGAGCACAGGAATGGCAACAATTTCTTTAATAATGGCCCAGTAAAGCCAACAGGGTCAGCCCTTGAACCAAACCAGGGCAGGATATACAGGTTAGGAAATTCCACAGTGGACATGAATGGAATTCTCCTGGGATGTGAAGCAGTGCATGAGGGCTGGCATGGGTGGCACATGGTTCCCTTGCTGTAGAGCTCTGTAAAGCTTTCAACAGAGCCTTTGAAAGACTTTTATTTTAGGTGTGCAGGGCGTAATTTGTCCCTCAACGGAACAGCAAAGGTCAGTGACATCAGTAAGAGTGGTGAAGGACATTGGTGAGAGTACAAAGAACCAATTCTCATTTTAGTGAAGCCCTTGTGTATTGCCCTAGTTGTTTAAAAGGACATCAAGGAAAGCATTAAAATAGTTAATGGAAACAAATTATTGCAATAACATCTGCTGGTATTAAACTCCCCTGTCCTACAGAGCTAGTGTATTGTTTTTACCCTCTTGGCTCAGAGACCTTTCTTTATTTACAGCTCCAGCTTTTGGTGCCTCTCCCCAGTAATGAGCTGCTGTCTCCAGAGCATCATTGCAGTGTTGGGGCAGCGCAGGGGTCCAAGGTGGAGCACACCAGCTGTGGGGGCTGGCAGGAGCACGGCTCTGTGTGCAGGGATGGGGGCTCAGTGGTGCTCAGCAGCCCTGTCTGTGCTTCCCTCAAAGATGGTTTTCCCTGTGCCTGAAGTAGAGGCTGTTTCTTTGATAAGTGAGTTTGTGGTTTGGGGGGAGTGAGGGGTGCGGGAAACAGATGGAGAAAGCACAGGGCAACGCAGTGGTTTAAAGGAATGAAAAGATACTTTTTGTTGGTGTCATTGCACCAAAACCAAGCAGCCTCTGAGGAAGGAAAGTGAGCCTGAGGTGAGGAAAGGGAAGGTTGTGGTGTCATTCATGGAGGAAGGGCTTATAAGGATTTCAGCCTTATCAGTTAAGCCTGAAAACCCAAATGCTGAGGGATGTGGAAATGGTGGGAAGAGGAAGGCACGGGGGACTGAGCAGGGCACGGAGCAGAGAGTGTGAGAGGCAGGGACAGTGGGTGAGAGGCGAGGGAGCAAGGATGGGAACAGAGGAAAGACCGGCGGTGACCCAGGCAAGCAAACAAACCCTCGGATGGAAAAAGGTGGGGGTGAGGGGGCCAGGGGGTGACAGCACAGGGGAGCAACTCCTTTCTCCAAAGCAGGATTGTCCTGTGATGAGCCCTCAGCTGTCCTTGAACGCTCTCCCTGTGAGGGATGACTGCTCTCTGCCTCTTGCTTCAGCACAGGGGTTTCTTTTGGGAGTGTGTGCCTGAGGCGTGTGCCCCACCCTTTACCTGGGGCTGTGCCCCAGCACAGACTGGCTGGGCAGGGGTGTTCACACCAGCTCCCCCTTCCCTGTCCCACAGGTGATCCCTGGCCCTGCCCTGGTGCACACTGAGGCTGCCACACCTGTGTCTCTGACACCCACATGGCCCATTCTGGGTGCTGGGGCTCTCTGGGACACCTGATGTAAAAAAGGGAATATGGCCAGGGCAGAGCTGAGCTCAGCTGCCTCCCCATGGGGTTTGCACTGAGGCATCACAGCCAGGAGGTACCACGGCAGGGGATGTGACAAAATCCTACTGTGAGCCCCTTACAGAAGTCACCTGTAGTTGTTCTCCCATTCATTATTTCCCAGCTAAAGCAATGTAACAATTACAAATTTGGATTACCTGGAAAAGCTGCTGAAAGCAGGATAAATTATTAATTCCCAGGCTACGTTCTGAGGAATTAATTTCAGCACCACATATTGAAAATTCTCCTTCATGAGAAATAGCCTGGTTTTGAGAGCAGTGAGATTTTGAAAAAGTGAAATTGTTCCAAGCCATTATTGTATTTTCTGACAAATTTATTTTTCAGTCACTCTCCTCTAGCACACTCAGCTAATATACTCAAATTAGTAGTAGGAAACCCACATTTGTAAGAATTCTGTCTCTGTATAAGGTACTGAAGTAATTGGGATTCCAGGGCAGAACTGTGGAAATTCTTAGCACGGTTTGCCCATATCTTATCAGAACAGGCAGGCATTTCCCACAGCCTGGCCTCTTGCCAGAGGGACTGAGCAGACTTGTTGGAAGCCCCCTTTGAATGGGAGAAGTAATCTTTCTGAATGGATTTTCTGGCACAACTCCTGTTGTGTGTATGGCTCATTGTTCTGGGTGATGTGGCTGTATTTTACCCCCTAGATAAATGTTTTAGGGTTGTTGGTTTTTTTTGATGATGGGAGGGGTCCTGGGAAAATAATCAGATTGCTGGTTCTATAAAATTTCTATAGGCAAATTGGTTTTTTGTTGTAAGTGGTTTTCCAGGTTAATTGTGTAGCTTTGTGAGCAGAATTTTGATATAAAGGACAACAGCTGATTAACCCTTGAACTTTTTGATGTTCAAAGGGCTTAGTAATTAGAAAGCAAACCATTTTCTCTTCTTCAAGGCATTTTAACAGTGCTGTTATGGCAGTTCATGTATGTATAGATGTATATTGTGTGTTCATAGTATAGTATAGTATTTAGTATTCACTAAAAAGTACCACTGGTGTTGTCAAAACTAAAAGAAGTGGTTGCCAGTGGTGGCACAACCTCAGTTGTTGTAAATGTCCTCCGGTGAAGTTGGAGTCGATCCCTCTGTGCACCACAGTCCTGCTGTGGAGCTGTGCCAACCTCTGTGAGCGGAGAATCTGGCCCTTAATATGTATTACAGGATAGTTAGTATTACCACAAAGTAACCACAACACACAAAGAAGTTCTATTTTAGCCCTGCTGGAGCAAAGAAATAACTGTTAATGCTGAAGACTGAAGTGCAAGAGATTGCTCAGTGGGGGAAGGAGGCAGAAAAAATCCAGATTTTGAGTTAACATGTGTACAGACAAATTCTCACGTCCCAAGGCTAAGTTTTGTCTATAAAAATTCCTTAAGATTTGAGTCTTTGTAATTAAAACATAAAGAATAATTATCTTAAGCTGATATCTGCAGAGGAAGAACAGTGTATTTACTTATGCTCTGCCAAAAAATCTTTTTAGCTGGAAAGATTAACAAAAAGGCATTGAAGTATAAAGACGGGCCTTCCTTTTATTGAAATATATATGTTTTGTCAACAGATTCAAAACAGAGCAGTCACAACCTTTTTTTCTTCCTTTCCTTTTCAGAACAGGGGTGGGGGAAGCATCCAGCTCCAAACTTAGTGCCTCTAATGCTTGGAAGACATTATGATTAATTTTTGTCCTTAGGTTTCCAGATGTTGGATTTCGTCCCAACATTTAAAGACCTCTAATGTTTAACAGGATATGTGCTGAGTGTAGTCTTTAACAGAGTTTTCTTTCATAACTCCAGGATCTATGAGAAAAAGTAACTTAGGAGGCCGCTGCAGATTCGGAGCTGAAGCCCCAGCCTTCCAGGAGAGCAGCCAAGGCTGAACGTGCGAGCTTGGAGCGGAGCCGCGTTCCTTCGGGAAGACGATGGCCAGGGCCCGGAGCTGGCAGCAGAGCCCTTGGAACGCCCTGCTCCTGGTGCTGCTGTGCTCGGGTGGCTGCCAGGCCCAGAGGGACTGCACGGGCGCCGAGTGCCAGGCCCTGGAGAACTGCATCGAGGACGTGCTGGAGCCCGGCGAGTGCTGCGCCACGTGCCTGCAGCACGGCTGCACCTGCGAGGGCTACCAGTACTACGACTGTGTCAACGTGGGCTTCGTCAACGGCAAGGTGCCCGAGGGACAGTCCTACTTCGTGGACTTTGGCAGCACCGAGTGCTCATGCCCCAAGGGAGGGGGCAAGATCAGCTGCCAGTTCATGCTGTGCCCGGAGCTGCCCCCGAACTGCATCGACGCGGTGGTGCCGGCGGACGGGTGTCCCCAGTGCGGCCGCATCGGCTGCCTGCACGAAGGACAGAAGTACGTGGCGGGGCACACCTTCCACATGCCCCCCTGCAAGGTTTGCCACTGCCCCAACGCCGGCGGGGAGCTGATGTGCTACCAGCTGCCGGACTGCGACACGTTCCCCTTGAACACGGCCAGCCCGGGGGACTCCGAGGACAGCGAGCCCGAGCGGCACTACGACGATCCCTACAGCTATGACCAGGAGGCCTCCGAGGGAGACAACACCCAGGTGGAGTCTCCAAAGAAGTACAGGAGTTACTCGTCCCACCTGGAGCATGAGAGCCTCAGCCAGGAGCAGGGTGAGGACTATGACTACCTAGCAGCTAGTGTGGCTCCCTCAGTGCCAGCCCTGGCTGACCCCCACACCGAGGGCACGGCGGCGCCCCGCCCCACCCCCGTGCCCCGGGGCCCCGCCGAGGCCCGCAGTGCCACAGAGCGCGGCGAGCGCCGCAGGCTGCCCCGCACCACCGCACCCTCCCTCCAGCAGGGGACACGCAAGGAGGCACCAGCCACCACCGGGGCTCCTCCCCAGCACACCACGGCCACCACCGAGGCATCCCAGCACCTGGAGGAGCTGGAGAGGAGGCCAAACGGGAACAAAGAGAGGCACGAGCAAGAAAGAGCCCCCCACTCTAAAATGAAAAAGCATGCCAGGAAGGAAGAGCTAGACAATAGCATGTATCAGGGCTTGAAAGAGGTGAACTTTACAGAGTCAAGCTCAGCAAGATCATCCCATGAAGGCCTCGAGGGGAATGATTTCCCCAAGGTGAAGTTCAGTGCAACAACCTCTCCTCCTGTTGCTCTGAAGGAAGACCGCAGCCAGTCCTCCCCAAAGCAGTCGCAGACGCTGTACCGGTACCATCCTGAGGAGGACGGGGACCCCAACTCCATCCATGCTAACCCCAGGCTGCCAGAAGGTAAGAAGGACTCCATTGTGGGTGTCTAGAGAACTCTTACTTGTGGTAACATTGGTGCTCATCCTCTGCTGTGTTGTTCTTACTGTTGCATGTGGCCTTGAAACCAACCAAACCACCACCAACCTTTCTTCCATCCCCTCAGGAGGTGGTTTGTGTTTCATTTCATAGAACAGGTACCATTTCACTGTTGTCCTCCTTGCTTTGATTTCACAGACAGTGGATGGGGTTTTCTGGTATTTTAACTGTATTTCAGATGATGATTGATTAAACTCTGGCATTTTTCTTCAATTATTTTTAACTTCTGTTATGATGTTAAAGAAACCTCTTCCTCGGCATAGAAGGATTTAATTATCTCCAGTTACCAACTCAGTGTAATCACATTTGTAGCTTTTGTCTTCTTCTGGAAAGGAAGTGAAACAGTTGTGCTTTCACTTTCTAAATAAAAATATTTAGAGCACTTGTAATGTTTATCTCATGGTTGAAAGGCTGTCTAAGCTCATTAGTTCAAGAACTCGAGAGACACACTCAAATACCCCTGAGGACTAGTAGGGAGAAAAAGGGCTCTCTCTTTCTTTATGTTTTCATGGGGCTGGAAGTTTATGATGTTTATGATCGGCTGTGGCAAGTATACGTATTTCCTCCCTGCCTCTGGATTCCTCTTGACATCTGCAGGGAATGTTGATTATACACTTTATGCAATGCTCATTACTGTAATGAATGCAAACTTCATCGCTGTAAATTAGCACATATACAGCTCATATTTCCAATTCATTTTTCATCAAATCAAGAGCAGTACCTCCTCTTTCAAGATGTGGCACAAAATGTTCTCCCAAGACTCAGCTGGAGGATGCTTGCAGAGAATACTGATGAGTCCCTGGGCAGTGGCATTTCTCCTGGGCTGTGTCAGTAGCCCTTAAATCTTGAGCTATCCAGTCCATCTCCTGGAAAAGTTTAAGGCAGACGGGAGGAGGAGAGCAGAGTTGGAGCTCAGACTCTAAGTCCCGACACACACAGCACCTCGTGGCTGTTCAAACAGAAAATGTGCCAGGTCCATGGATGGAGATGGCAGCTTTTTCCTTTTTCTTTGACTTCCCTTTTATTTGCTTCAGCCTCCCTCAAAATCTGAGCTGTGCACCAAGGCTGTGTATGATACATGGGCCTGAATTAGGACTGACACACAATAACCTGTTTCCTGATGTCACTTTAAAGAAGATTTTTTTTTTTTAATAAAATTGCCTTTTCTTCTTCTTTCAAAAAAGGATAAATGGGTGGAGCACCCTGAAACTTTCAATGAGAGGGTTTAAGAAAGTCTGTTGGGGTGAAAGTGTTCAGCACCAGAACTAAATACTGAATTTTAGAGTCTGCTTGGGTGATTTGCAGTCTGTGATTCCCAGGAACTGCTTGGCTGAGACAGGTGTTGTTGGGAGATGGGTTAGGTTGAGGTGCCTGGAGCAAGATGTGATGGATGGCATGTCAGGCATGAATTGTTCAGCTGGGAGAAGCAGACTTGGGAATCACTGGGTGCCATTTTCCCCTTAGCTGAGATACCTGTGATTTCCTTTAAATATTGCAGAGGTAGAAATGAGAAAGAAATGTCCCATGGGAGCACAGAACTCTCTGACTGGCTGTAGATGGTGCAACTCCAAGGCTGCTGCTTCCCTGGCCCATGGAGCTGCTGCATGCCTTGGGAGCCAGCACTGGTGCCACCAAACCATGTCCATCACCCACAGTCACTGACAGGTGGGACCTGGACAGGCAGCCCCTGATCTGCCCCACCATTCTCATCAGGAATATTGGTGGAAGATCTGTATGGAACTGCGGCCTCTCAAAAAATGAGGGCTCTCTTTTGCCGTGACCAGCGCTCGTGCCTAGGGACAGCAGTGCTTCCACTCGTTATGCTGCTGTAATTGACGTGGTTGTGATTCATGGGAGTAGCTCCATATGTTTCAAGTAATAAAACACATACATCTTGTGTCTTTGGTGACTTCTGAACCAGTGGTGGAGGAGGAGTGAAGATACTAGTCAGACTTGAAAGAAAAATTAATCTTGCCTACAGATACAGAACGAAAACATAAATCCTGTGCATGCATTTCCAACTATAAAATGGCAAAATCTACAAGAATTGCCAAATAACTTATTTCCTCCCTTCAGGAATTGTCAGCATGGTGTAAACTACATCAGTCCCCTGATTTTCAGAGCCTGTGGGGCTGTTGGGCTGTTCTCTAATGAGGCTGCAGCCACTCTGGCAGTGTGCAGGTTTCTGTTCGACCAGCTCTCAGCAGAGTGCTCTGGGATACATTTCTGTAACTCTATGGCCATTCTAGATTTATTTTTATGTTTTGTTTAGTGTTTCTTTTTCCCCAGAGTTTAGGAAAGTTTGTGAGCTTCCAGAGAGGCTTTCAGGCCAAGTTAGGTGGCTGTTGCATTTGTTCCTACTGTTTAGCTGTATCCTGTCCCCAGAATTCTGCTGTGCTTGGGTCCTGATGTCTTTGGTTAAAAACTTCACTTCATTACTTTTATTTTACATATCTCACTTTGGTTTTATATGTAGCTGAGTTTTCATCTCCCAAATCTTTGCTGGTTCATATGTAATCTAATGGTGGAAACAACATGGAATACTTTGGTGCTCAGGAAAGGTTAATTTTGTGGTTTGGTTTTCTTTCTTCTTTTTAGCATTGTTTTTATCTGTCGTATTGCCCTGTGTTCATATCAGCTACTCCATTCCTAAAGGAGCTGTAAGTGTACAGCAGAGGTAATTACTCAGCTGAGAAAGTACAAATTAAGTGCTTTCACCATGGGAAGGGATGAGATTAATGGAGACTGTTCTCCTTATACAGTCTCTCTACAAACATTGATCTTACCCTGTCACTTACTGCAAGAGCAGCAAATGTGGGGCATTTTAATTTCTGTATTGCCTATTTCCTCATCCTAAAAATGCCCTGATCAGGGGAGGGCTGACTAAAATATATTTCAAGAACTTAGTGTCAAATTCTGTTAAGATTTTCCCACTTTCTTCCATTTCCCCATGCTCTGGCAGTAGAGTGCTATTCCTTGGATAAATGTAACTTAGGTAGCAAGCAGCCTCACTGTGAAAGTTTTATGATTTGCATTCTGGTTTTGGCAGGCTCAGCAGTAGTTTGGATCTAGCTGGACCTGTCATGTTTCAGAGTGGAGGTGTTTTTCCACTTAAACTCCTCCATAACTGGTGGTTTTTTTCCCGTGGTGGCTTTTAGAGATAAAGGTAATTGTTCTCAAGCTGGAGTAAATTGCACCAATTTGGGAGCTGAGATCAGTGGATGTGAGAGTGGCATTTATTGCCAGTGAATCCTGCTCAGGCAGGAGCTTCTGGGAGGCTCCTGTGAAACTTCTGAGGATGTAGCTGAGATTCCAACCTACCCATCTGCTGCATGTTTGCTGATTCTGAAACTCCTGGAATAGGATGACCTTGAATTTCTGAAATGAGGGCAGACAGATCCATGTGCAGGTCCAGGAGTTGGACTTGATGGTCCTTTTGGTCTCTTCCTGGATATTCTATAACTCTGTGAAAGCAGACCTGCAGTGAGGGTTTGGAAGCATTCCCTGAGCTCACCCACCCTTTCCTCCTCTTACTGCCACCATAAAAAGCACTGGAGGTGGAAGAATGCTTGCATGGTCCTTCAGAAACAAACTCTGTTTGCAATTAATTTGGGTTTTTTGCTATCAAGTGAAGTGTTGTCTCATTTTTACTTGAATTACCTCAGGCTTAATCCTGTGTTCTCCACTTTATCCCAGTCCTTTCTGTAACAGGAAGAAATGAGCTTTGAGGCCTCAAAATAGGATATCTGAGGAATAAAAATAAACCTCAGGAGACTGGTGTATGAGGAGAAAAAGTCTCTGGGCCAGCAAGTGTGAATCAGCATGAATTACAGCCCTGGGTGATAGTGTTCAGTGATTCCTTTGGTAGTTGGAGTTCTGAGGGAGCACGAATGGGAATAAGGCAGTTCGAGATACTTGCAGAAAGAGGAAGACTAAAATACTATAAAATTAAAAACTGTCTATCTGTTCTGCAAAAAGTGGCCTTTGTACTGTATTAGGCAGCCAGATGTTAGTTTAGAAGGAAAAATGGAAATAATTCAACCATTTCTATTAATGAAAACATCCCATGTATGATATGTGGGGGGCTGATGCCCTCACTGCTGCTGGTGCACAGCCTTCCCTGCACCCTTCCCTTGTCACCTCAGGCATGGATTTGTGAGCAGAGGGTGCAAGGAAAACCCAAATGTACCCAAATGACACAGAGGGGTGCACTCAGAGTAGATGTTTGCAGATTCTGAAATAAACAGTAGCCAGAGTATCCAATCTGCAGGCACAGATGTGACCTGGCTCTCTGCTTCCTCAGCTCTTGCTTTCCATTGGGTCTGTATCCAGTGCTGGGAGCAGCCCCGTGTGAGGGATGGGAGCAGCCCCGTGTGAGGGATGGGAGCAGCCCCATGTGAGGGATGGGAGCAGCCCCGTGTGAGGGATGGGAGCAACCCCGTGTGAGGAATGGGAGCAGCCCCGTGTGAGGGATGGGAGCAGCCCCGTGTGAGGGATGGGAGCAGCCCCGTGTGAGGGATGGGAGCAGCCCCGTGTGAGGGATGGGAGCAGCCCCGTGTGAGGAATGGGAGCAGTTCCAGGAGCAGTCCCATCCCATGTGAGGGATGGGAGCAGCCCCGTGTGAGGGATGGGAGCAGCCCCCTGTGAGGAATGGGAGCAGTTCCAGGAGCAGTCCCATCCCATGTGAGGGATGGGAGCAGCCCCGTGTGAGGGATGAGAGCAGCCCCCTGTGAGGAATGGGAGCAGTTCCAGGAGCAGTCCCATCCCATGTGAGGGATGGGAGCAGCCCCGTGTGAGGGATGGGACAACCCCGTGTGAGGGATGGGAGCAACCCCGTGTGAGGGATGGGAGCAGCCCCGTGTGAGGGATGGGAGCAGGGCTGGGGAGCCCCAGGCACGCAGGCAGCAGCTGAATTCCCAGTGTCC